TTCCTATTTTGATTACCTCCACATCCCTCGTGTTACTGTTCTTCAATCATATGAACACATGTCTACACTTTGGGTTTTCGCATTCCTCATTTGAATACTTGTAACCTGATTGCTGTCACAGGGTTACTGATTTTTGGTAAATATCATCACTTTAGTAGTGAAAAATCTATTACAAATATAGAAAATTATGAAAATTATTGTTAACATGTTTATTATGATATACTTCAGGTGTACTTTTCTACTATCTATTAATTTGTCAAAATATTTACCCTATCATTTAATTTCTCCAAGAGGTTATACTTAGTGAAAATTGATCAAGTCAGTAGTATGAAATTGGTTAAATGCATTTCTCAGGTTGTCAATCACATTATATGTCTAGTCAATTTTGTCTGGTTGAATCCTACCAAATTACACAAGGTATGAAAATGACTAGTAATGCAAAACATGTTAAAGAAATAGTCGAATTCATTTCTCAAGTTGTTAATCAAGTTACATGTTTAGTAAAGTTGTTTTGAAATGGCTAATAATAAGTTGCAAAACGTGTTATATAAATGGTCAAATTTATTTCACAAGTTGTCAATCACGTTATATGTTTAGTAAAATTGTTTGGAATGGCTAATAAAAGGTTATAAAATGTGTTATGGAAATTGTCTATTTCATTTCACAAGTTGTTAGTCACATTATATGTTTAGTAATTTTGTTCAACTTAATCCCCCTCAATTTTACTAAGTTTGTAAATGGCTAATAATAGGTTGCAAAATGCATAATGAAAATGTTCAAATTCAATTCGAAAATTGTTAATCACTTTACAAATATCATCAAAGGCTTGCTTGATTATAATAATACCTAAAAACAAAATTTTTCATGCTTTTCATCTCTTGATGGCATTTTAGTATTTTTACCAAACTTTGCAAATCTCATGCCTCTTTGGTGCTTACACTTATTTGCACGATTTATTTGTTTTTTTAAATTTTAATAGGTGTTTTTGGGTTATTTTTCCAAAAATTTAGCTATTTAAATTTAATTAATCATTTTAACATTTTGAGGTCTTGCGGGCATGAAAAAAAGAAGAAAAAGCAAGAGGACGGGAAGGGAATGAGAGAGGTTCTCTCCGTAAAATTGTGTGGGCTGTTGTGTTCTGATTGGTAATAGTACAGATGACATGGCACATTTGGAACAGGTAAGAATTTCTCTCCAGTTGGAAGAGCAGGGGCTCGGAAGCAGCAAAGAAAAAGTACACGGTCTCGTCATTCTCCTTTTTCACCCTTTTGCCTTTCAGTTTCACCCATATCTCTCTCTCCCTCTCTCAAATTTCAATGCAATGATCTTCCCTTTTGTTATTTGTATTACCAAAACTACCCTCCTATTTCTTGCCGGTCTTTCCCCATTGGACGAATCTTCTTTTGCCCAATTGCTGGCCGGCATCAACAAATTGAAACTTTACGTCCTCTCCCGTGACATATCATATTTCATTTTTTTTTCCCTTCACAGCAAGTCGTTGCACTTATCGTTTAGGAATTGTAACGAATAGAATTAGTTTTTGAAATATTACATAAACATAAATAGAAGATGTTTTACCTTACATTGAATTATTTATGCCATCTTTTTTTTTTTTAATCAAATGAGATTTTGCCACGTGAGGACGGCAGGTTATTTGAAAGGAACAGGGAGGGAAGAAGCCAACCTGATAGGTAAAAAGATGGAGCTATGGGTTGACACCAAGAACATGAAAAGGATGATTCTCAGCAAAAAGTAATTCATGAGCACTTATTCAAAACATGCTCCTTCCCTTCCGGGTCCAATAATTTTCAGCATAATTTTTTTTAAAAATTATAAATTGGTGATGAATTTAATACTACCTCCGGTCCTTAATATAAGATCTCGTTTGACTTTTATTTTAATTCTAATTATAATATTTTAATCCACTTTGTCTCTCATATTTATGTATTTTTTCTTAAGGTAATTCCTCTAATAATGATAGTTCAGACCAATAAATTTAATTAGCAATGATATTTTAAGAAAGATAATACCTATTTATTACAAATAACTAATTTAACTTATTTTCTTAATCTTTTCAATTAGTAACTAGCTCTTATAATTAGAACCAGAGGTATTACAACTAATTAAATTAACTTTTTTGTTTCCCTTGGAAAAATTGTTAACAAGATCCTATATGGGCTGGAACCACCCACCCACACACACACACAAAAACACATTATAGAAGAATACTGGGCTTAAAATTGGGCTTTAAAATTTTTTGGATAACAAGCCCAGAGCTAAATCTGATTACGCAGTTCGAAAGCCAGACTATTAATGAGCTGGGTCTGTACTTCTCTGACCTGCCCATAGAGGGCTGTCTCCTTAATAGCCCTTGCCATTTGCCACCACAAGGATTTTACAGTACATTTTAGCCCACCTGATTCAGTAATGGAATTTCCAGATTTTATTTTATGTTTTCCCCCGTGTGATTATAATAGACAATTTTATTAATACTAGATAAAACGATACATATAAATATATATATATATATATATATAAAATCAAACAGCTAACATACCCACGTAAAAGTAAGACAAGTACAAGAAAAAAAAATGTTCAACAAAAAAACGTACGCATACAGATGGGTGGGAGGACAACGTCCAGCGTTTTTGAAAAGAGTCTTAGCAGATACTCCTGTCGAGCAGTTTCCAGATGTTAACGTCACTACGAGACTTGAGAACAGCCTCTGATCTCACGAGGTTTGCCTCATAAAGGGTGTGATTTCAATTTTGGATACGTGCAAATGCAAAAGTTTGTGTCTTGATACGTTCACAGAACGGATGTGGTTGGAATTCCCAAAAAACATGAAGATAATTACACACTTAGACAGGAGGATTTGTAACTGGCTGCACACGAGGGAACATGGGATTTTGATCAATTATGAAGAAAAATCCCAATGTGTAGTTGAAGCAGACAAGATCAATTAGGTTTGGTTAAGTGCAAAGATGGCAGACACGGTCGCAAGACCAGTCATCATGTTAATGGGAAACTCAAGCGTGATGCTGATAAGGGATAGGGTTGACTGACTTTCTATGCTTCCAAGGTATTTTTGGAAGGGTTCGTGGAAGAAGAATAGTCACACGTTCACACGCAATCACAGAAGCAAGCCATGTTTAGGTGGAGCAAGCCATGCTCGGATTTGCATTGAGCGATCATTAGTTTTGATGAGCATTAGATCTGAGATCTGAACTGTCCAGATCTTATTGGACGGTCTAGATTTAATTTTAATTTTATTTTTATTTTTTAAAAATAATTATTTTAATAGGTATAGGATAAAAAATAAAAATAATATCTTAATTATCATGTTTTTAAAAAATAATTTTTTATTTTAAAATAATTATTTAAAAATATTAAATCTGAATCGTGAAAATTGAATTATTTTTATAAAGAACAAATGCCGATTGTGCTCATCACTTGACCAAATGCGGACCGCCGTATTCAAGTGGGGTTTCGGATCATTCTTATAAAGAATTACTTTTACATCTTACAAAATTAAACTCCTCCCATGTATTAAACATAGTACTTATCTGATTCTTAATATAAATCCTAATTGTTGAGATGATTTTGGTCCTAAATATAAGATTTATTTTTTATATTCATCAATTTTTCTTAAATTATTCTTATAGATATTTTATTAACCATATTTAAGGGAAAAAGAGAGATGAGATCTTAAGAAAAATGATTATGGTGTTTTAAAAAAAATATATCATATTTTTTTATAATTAATTAATTTAGTTAAATAAATTTTATATTAAGAATCGGAAGAATGTAACATTACCTGAACCGGGTTAAAGCAATCAGCAAAAGGAAATGAGGACCATTGTCTCTTTAATGACGGAGATAGAATGTTGTTTGATGTGACGTGTTAGATGCGTGGCATATTGATGGGAGATGCTCTGCCTCGGCCCAAATCTTCGCACAATCTTTTCTTTTCTTTCGTCTGATCAAAGAAACTTGACCACGACGCGGAGAGAAAAAACAAACGCCACCTAACAATGATTACTTATAAATATGATACATTAATTAATAATAAAATCGTATCGTGCAAGTCCCTTAGAAAGTCCATTCCTTTCTCCTAATCATTTCTGTCACGAAGTTCTGACTTCTGAAACACCCAATCATTTCTTACTTGAAGTTTTGGAGCACCTTTTGAGTTAATTCGGATCAGAATTCTGGTTCGTAATTAAACAAACCTCCTAAAAAGGTTGTCTCCAAAATTCGAACCTATAGATAAAAACATAAATACTACTTTCAGTCTTAATTATAAGAACTAGTTAACTAATTTGAAGAGATTAAAAAAAATAAGTTAAGTTAGATATTTATAATAAATATATATTGTTTTTCTTAAAATATTCTTGCTGTATTGGTTAGAACTACCATTATTAAAAGGACTATTTTAAAAAAATATATAAATATGAGAGACAAAATGAATTAGAATTTTATAATTAAAATTAAAATAAAAATCAAATGAGGTGTTCTATTAAGTACCGGAGGCAGTATATAGTGGCACTGAGCCAACACTTTTGGGCACCACATGCCATGGATCCGGCTATCCTCCTCTACCCCTACCATCTACTCTTTCTATTCTACCCAAAACTCTGCTGTTTTTATTTTTTCGCCAAATCAATATTTTTTATTTTGAAATATTTTGTCAGTAGCGTCCAGTATCTCAACATAATTTTTAGTATCTCTGACACCCATCATGACGTGGTGGCACACCACAATGGATCATAATCATCAACTTCTCCGAGGTGCGAACGAGTTGATCCTCACATTTCACCGCTACTGCTCAATGCTGAAAGTGGGAATCTTCGAGTGAAAATGAAAAAAAAAATAAAAATTCCAGAACTTTTTTTTTTCCGCCGAGACACCTCAATCCTTATCATTAAAGGTTTTTTGGCTTTGGAATCTCCTGTGAACCCAATGGTTCCAACTTAGACAGTGACTTTATATAAAGCAAAAATGTGAATCAATCATCAGTCAATTATGAAAAGTCAATATAGCAAATTATCAGCTGATGCTTGATACTGTCGATTTTGTCAGTTTCACTTTGAAGCACCTACCTTCCCACTTCTCGTTCTTCTTTCACGCTTTAACATGGTGGGATTCAATTGAATTGAGGCGTGCTTAACCTTTGTCACCTCAATGGCGATCCCTGTGTTTCTATGTGCTGTGCTGTTGCTGGGTTCTCTTTTATCGTCGGAATCGAAGTATATAAATTACAATACGACGTCAACAACTGTTCCTGGGAAGCTCAACGTTCATTTGGTTCCTCATACTCACGATGATGTTGGATGGTTGAAGACCGTCGACCAGTACTACGTTGGTTCTAACAATTCCATCCAGGTCATTCACTCGCTCACTTTGTTGTCTTGTGTCTGCGTGATGTCTGAAATATTGATTCATCATGTTGGTTTGTCTAATCTGGAAATGCAGGGAGCGTGTGTTCAGAATGTGTTAGATTCTCTGATACCGGCATTGTTGGCCGACAAGAATCGCAAGTTCATTTATGTTGAACAGGTAAGGATCTAACATGTCTTATGATTCGGTCTGTGATGATATGTGTACGTTTAGTTTTTCTCTTTGCAGATGATTTCTTCTAATAATCTTGTACCTCAATCATCAAAATCTTTTTAATTTATGCTGTCCGGTGATCAACAATTTTCACCAGGAATATCCTCAGTAAAAAGTTCATAGGGTTTGGATTTCACTACTAAGAGAATAGAATAACATGATATTGGTAAACATAAATTAGCTCATGCTTAGAAAACTGAAGTTAATTTTGAGAATACTTTTATTTTAATTTTGTCAAAGGCCTTTTTCCAACGTTGGTGGAGACAGCAGAGCGAGGCAGTTCAGAACGCAGTCAAGCAGCTAGTCAACTCTGGTCAATTGGAGCTCATGTATAAAGATACATTCCATATCCATTCTAAACTAAATAATATTTACTTTTAAACTAATAACATGGAGAAAGAACTCAGATTTTTCTGTTCCACTAATATGAAAGATTGCCAACATGAGATTGCAGAAACGGGGGTATGTGTATGCATGATGAGGCGGCTACTCATTACATTGACATGATTGACCAGACAACTCTTGGACATCGGTTTCTTAAACAAGAATTTAATGTAACTCCAAGAATAGGTTGGCAAATTGATCCCTTTGGACATTCTGCAGTGCAGGCTTATTTGTTGTCTGCAGAGGTAAGGGTTTGCCTTAGTATGTTCTAGAATTTGAACACTGTGATTGAAAAAAACAATTGAATTTTTAAGTCAAAGTATCTGAATTGCTGTCGTAGGTCGGATTTGACTCGCTGTTTTTTGCTCGAATCGATTACCAAGACAGAGCGAAGAGGAAAGATGACAAGTCGCTTGAAGTTGTTTGGAGGGCCTCTAAAAGCCTTGGTTCATCTGCACAAGTGTGTAACCTGAAGTGGTTTTAACGATAAGTTTATTAAAGATTCAGCTTCTAATCGTTGATCCTTGAAAGCATTTCTTACCTGTAGATCTTTTCTGGAGCATTCCCTGAGAATTATGAACCTCCTAGTAATTTCTACTATGAAGTAAATGACAAGTCTCCTATTGTCCAGGTCAAACCTATGCCAAATTATAACTGAAAGTGTTTTGTTTTATCTTCCAACTAAGACTGAAGCCAATGTACTCCTTTTATCACTTGAAGGATGATATTGATTTGTTTGACTACAATGTACCTCAACAAGTAAATGAGTTCGTCTCAGCTGCGATATCACAGGTAAGAAAAGTAGTTATAGATTCTATAAAATGCAAGTGAGTAAATACTTCCATCCTGAAGTAATAATCTCAGTTAGTACTTGGTTACACTTACCAAATTAACAAATAGAAATGATCCAAATGGAATACTGTAAATTTTCAGTGCCTTGCAGTTATATTTATTTTGTTTCAACAAGGATTACATTGATTGTCCTTGTCTCTTTCAGGCAAATATCACCCGCACAAATCATATAATGTGGACGATGGGAACAGATTTCAAGTACCAATATGCAACTAGTTGGTTCCGGCAGATGGATAAGTTTATTCACTATGTCAATCAAGTTATTGCTCTTTAACTGTTGCTTAGCTTACAAATTTCTTAACTTCATTGTTTCTCTTTAAAAGTTGTATAAGGGCTTGTTTCTCAGGATAAGGTTTGACTCAATCTGACTCAAATATTTATACTTTCACAATTGATATCACTTTTGACATAAATGAAATTTCATATCATAAACTTGATTGCAAAATCTGATTCATGGTTTTATATTAAGCTAACAGCTTATTAGTCTTTAGAGTAGCTCGGCATATTAACGAGACTCTGGGTTCTTTGTTTCCTTAGGATGGAAGGGTTCATGCCCTATACTCAACCCCATCAATCTATACTGATGCAAAATATGCAGCGAATGAGGCATGGCCAATCAAAACTGAAGACTACTTTCCGTGAGTTTTAACCCTTAAAATCATCATTTCCGGGTAGACCTAGCCTAAAAAAATGGAACGAACAAATCGATTATGGCCTCTAACAGACTTACTTATCAATTTATGACTGGCTTGATTTACTATTCTTTTAATAGGCTGGGTATACTTTAGACTTTTAAGATTCTTCTAATTCAGTATTTTGTATGTGGCAAATGTATTTGTCAGGTATGCTGATCGTATAAATGCGTACTGGACTGGGTATTTTACAAGTAGGCCAGCTATTAAAGGTTATGTCAGAGCAATGAGTGCATACTATTTGGTGAGCTTTTGTGACTGTCATGTTTCAAGCTATCACATAATCATTAGCATCAAGGCATATTAACACTTTTGGACATTTTGAACTCTATGCTAACCTGAAACCTGTGATAAAGAACAATTTCCTTCAATCTTTAAACAGGCAGCGAGACAATTGGAATATTATAAAGGAAAGAGCACGGCAGGTCCTAAAACTGACTCTCTAGCAGATGCCTTGGCTATTGCTCAACACCATGATGCAGTTTCTGGAACAGAAAAGCAGCATGTGGCTGATGATTATGCGAAGCGCCTTTCAATAGGTTACACCGAAGTGAGTAATGCTGAGACTTGTCACCTATCCACTTAAAGCTCTCTCGGGACCATCTTCCCTTGAACTTAACCTAAAAAATGTTCTCTATATTAATGACTTATACAGGCTGAGAAAGTTGTTGCAGCATCACTTGCTTGCATTACTGAGACAACATCCGAATCTGGTTGCAGTAGCTCACAAACTCAGTTTCATCAGGCAAATAATACTTGATCCAACAGTTTTCCTAGAAGCAATGTTCAAAGACTATCCTGAGATTGACTTCTTGATTTTACGTTTTCTTTTATGTCTGCTTCCTTAATTTATTTTTTCGTGTCATTACAGTGTCCACTCTTGAACGTAAGTTACTGCCCTGCATCAGAAGTTGATTTTTCAAATGGGAAAAACCTGGTGAGGAGTTGACATCTTATCTGATGATGGACTGATTTTACATTAATTAGAACCAAAGAATTTGATCTTTTACGATTCATCGCTTGGTAATATATTGTCTCTTGTAGGTTGTTGTTGTCTACAATCCTCTTGGATGGAAAAGAGAGAATGTTATAAGAATCCCTGTGAGCCTCCCCCCAACCTTTTGCTGCGGAATTACCCCATGCATTACAATGAAAGAAAGATGTTTCCACCTTGACATGAAAAACCACATTACATGAATTGAAAGCTACTTTTGTTTAACATCACATCGTGTTTAAATTTGTCATAGGTTATCGGTGAAAATGTTGATGTTCGGGATTCAAATGGAAAACAAATCGAATCCCAGCTTCTACCAATTCTTAATGCTTCCCTGGCTCTAAGAAACTACCATGCTAAGGCATACTTGGGCTTGTCTCCAACTGTAAACCCTAAGTATTGGCTTGCCTTTTCAGCAGTTGTTCCCCCACTCGGTTTCACCACTTACTACATATCAAGCGCTAAACAATCAGGTTTTGAGAGTATCATGCATGCATGAGAACTCATAAATTTTCCACATTTTGCGTGTAAACAAAATTTTATTTTTTTTCAAAAAATTGCAGGTTCAGCTGTTATTTCGGACAGATTTACAACATACAAGTCGGGAAGCCAGGGTCAATCATTTGAAGTAGGCCCAGGCAACTTGAAACTAGTTTATTCTGGAGATGAAGGGAAACTAACTGATTATATTAACACCAGAAGCAAGGTAATGTGACTTTGGTTCAACATAGAAGTAATGCTTATTTTATAATGTTCATATGAATACATGTTTTCATTATTAATTGATGTTCACAATGGAAGGTCAAAGAATCAGTTGATCAAACATACACTTTCTATGCTGGGTATGGAAATGATCAAACTCAGACTGCTCAGGTAATAAAACTTTCTATTGTGAATCTGTCTATGGTATGATAGTAATTACTACTGAAAGCGATTTAAATGTTTTGTGTTGTTTAAGGCCTCAGGAGCATACATTTTTCGCCCCAATGGTACATATCCCATCATCTAAAGGAAAGGTAATTAATGTGCCTAAATTATCCCTATATTCAGTAGTAACAGAAAAAAATTATCTCTTCATTTTTAATTTTTCAGCTCACTGTTTTAAGGGGACCTATAATACATGAGGTGCATCAACAAATCAGTTCATGGATATATCAGGTATTATTCTTAAAATAAGAGGAAGAAGAACAGCAACAACAACAAAAAATGCTGCCCTCATCTGAAGTGTTTAGTTTGTAATTTTTTCCCCAGATCCTTCCAGTGATGTTTTTATCGATATGTTATCATTGACCACGGATTTTTTGAACAGATCACTAGACTGTACAAGGGGACAGAGCATGCTGAAGTCGAGTTTATTGTATATCTTTCTCTTTCTCGTTTCATTCTTAATTTTCCCCTGATATTTTCTAATGCAGATGCCTATGAATATTGTTTCTATAAGAGGTAATAATCGTGACAGGGCTATTTGACGCCCAGGTTGGACCCATACCTATTGATGATGGAATTGGCAAAGAAATTGCCACCCAGATTAAAACAAATCTTGCAAGCGACAAAACTTTCTATACCGATTCTAATGGACGCGATTTCATCACAAGGGTAGGTCACAACAAATTCCGCAACTAATTTTCAGTTTTCACATGCTGGTGTTAGCTAATGATTGTAATGCATGTTTGCTCAGATTCGAAACTACCGAAAAGACTGGAACTTGGAAGTCAATCAACCTATTGCTGGAAATTATTACCCAGTACGTTTCATTAAACCTTCTATTACAGTAATGCACGTGACAAGACTGCATTTTTTTAAGGTGGTCATGTAATGGAATCTAATTCCTTCCTTCAGCTCAATCTTGGGATTTACCTAAAAGATCAGAGTAAAGAGTTCTCTGTTTTGGTGGATCGGTCAGTGGGTGGATCCAGCCTTGTTGATGGACAAGTGGAGCTAATGGTTCACAGGTCTGTTCTGTTATCCACAACTTCACGAACTCCTTGATGTATTATTTCAATACTCCATACAGAAAGCTCTATTGTTTCCATTGTAGGAGGTTACTTGTGGATGATGGTAGGGGTGTTGGCGAGGCACTAAATGAAAAAGTTTGCATTAACGATAAGTGCACTGGACTAACTGTAAGAACATCCAAATTGGCATCTGGATTTTATGTTGATGTGATACATAACATTAGCACTGTGATAAACTCAATAAGAAGTGTTCAATGTTCAAGTGTTTGATTTTTCACTATCTTGCAGGTGCTTGGCAAGTACTACTTCAGAATTGATCCAGCAGGAGAGGGTGCCAAATGGCGTCGTTCGCTTGGTCAGGAGATATACTCTCCGTTTCTTTTAGCCTTCACAGAAGAGGTTTAGATTAGATGAGTAGTGAATCTGGATTGATGTCTGAATCGGTTTGCATGGTTAATTTCTAAGTTACTGATGAATGAAACCTTTTTTGGCCTTCTCGTAGAGTGGAGACAATTGGAGAAATTCTCACAAGACAACCTTTTCAGGGATTGATTCCTCGTACGAGATGCCAGACAATGTTGCAATATTAACCCTTGAGGTGAATACATAATTTTTCACCTTCAGTCAATTAAAAGGAAATAATTCCTAGTTGTGAGATTTTCCATGGAAACAATTACTGATTTGTAAAGTTTCTGGTCACTAATGTAATATTGCATCTTGAATTCTGCAGGAGCTGGACGATGGACAAGTTCTTCTTCGGCTGGCTCACTTATACGAGGTAAACATTTGAACACACACACTTGTTGGTTAAATTGGAACGCTATTGAAATATTGTTATCTTGTTTTGGTCAATGCAAGATCGACGAGGACAAGGATCTCTCAGTCAAGGCAAGTGTTGAACTGAAAAAGGTGTTCCCTGGTAAAATGGTAAAAGACCATATGGCAAACTTTTTTTTTTTTAAGCAAAGAATGCATAAAATATTAGTTAGTTAAATTTTAAAAAGTAAAATTGTAATTTACTTATGTATCAAAAGCTTGAGCATTCATTGTGTTGTGTTTCAGATGAAGCAAATAACAGAGACAAGTCTCTCTGCAAACCAAGAAAGAACAGCGATGGAGAAGAAGAGACTAGTGTGGAAGGTTGAAGAAGGAGAAGAAGCAGAAGGCCACGTGTCAAGAGGAGGAGCCGTAGATCCAGAAAAGTTAGTTGTAGAACTTGCTCCAATGGAAATTAGAACCTTCATTATCGCTTTTTAGCGACAAAGAAGACCAAGCGCCGCTACATCAACAAGCGGTTCTTCATCTGAATAATGCCAACAAATAAACAAGGTTGTGTGATTCTGTGGCCTTTGTGTATCTAAATTATTGTAATTGAAACTCCGAATAGCAAAATCAGCATTTTGTTTGTACCTAATGGATGCTTGCTCCTCATTAGCCAATGACAGCACAGCTCTTCCTCTAAAAGGGCTATGCAGTAATAATATGCTACCTCTTGTCATGTCTTTAATATTAGATTCAGTTGATTAATTTAGATAGGTTAAAAAAATTATTAAATTATTTAATCATAACATGTTACATGATCTGGTTAAAACATTTATACGGATCATTAGATTACATATCATTTTATAACGGAGACAAATTAGTTCAAAAGCAAAAATAAATATCAATAATTTAAAATAATTTATTAACTTTTTTATTTTTTTTTCAAATTAGTAAACTGTGTTTTATATTAATAACTGAAAGTAGTAGTTAATATATAAGCATTCATTTGAACCTATTATAAGTCATCTCTTATCATTTTTTGAGTATGAAGAGGGGTGCTTGACTCGTTAACTTTATTTGAAAATAAAACTTTTTTTTTTTAATTTTGCTCATGTTTAAGAGCACAGAAAAACATCACATTAGATTTTTAAGTCTACACCTAATAAATTTGTTATGAGAGTAATATTTGGATAAAATTTCATTGATGACCCCCCAGTGACTTATGTTATGGATAATTTTTATTTTTACAAAAGACACCTTATATTTAATAACAGATGAATTTGGCAAAATTATTTTAATAAATGATAATGATTTACTATTATTTACACACACACACACGTTCATGTGATCATTTCATTGAAAATGCATATGATGAAAATGCAAACATAACCAGTCTAATGACCGAAACAAGATTAAATCAAATTACAATGTGACACGCATGCAGCTATAAAATGTTATCGATTGCTTAATATGCACATTCGCATAAGATTCATTAAAATTATTCTCCCTCTTCCTTCTAAACGAGGGAATATCTCATCTCATTGCCTCCAATTTTCGAGAACCAAACCACCACAAAACTCGTGGCGCCAAAATTTGAAATTTTTATTATTATAACGGTTCTCAGTACAATACGTAACTATATGCTAGTGAAAAATTGGTGTACCAAATTCAAATCTTTCAGGAATCTACTTGAATAATAGTTGTGCTTTTATTGTATCACACTACACATTGTAAACGATATTTTTAGGCTATATTAGCAGCGATATTGGCACCAACAAGAGTTTATCTAGTTAACAAGGAGCCGACTTATAAATCACAAGATCGTGAACCAATGTGAGGATCTTATTACTAGGTGATCTGTTAGTACTTCTGTAATCTTTAAACCTGGAGGTATGTTTTAGCCCTAGTGAGTCTTCGTAACCTAATTCTCCTCAACTTTTATTTATATTAAAAAGTACTGTTTATTGACAATTTTTAGAATCATACCACATCCTTTTTTACTTATTACAAGAGCAAACTAAAATCCGGTATCATAGCATATTTTTTTAAGCAAAATCTTATGTCCATCACATTTTAAAACCAATCAAGGAGAGTGGAAAAATCCCTATGTTGTCCTCTTCAACAAAACAAATTGTAAAGGCTCACAAGAACTGAAGAACATGAATAATAGGGAAAATATAACTTTTGGTCCCTCAAATTTAAGCCCATTTAGGTTTTGGTCCTGGTATTTAAGACCGGAGGTATTGGTCCCTGAAATTTATTTCGTTACAAAACGTTAGTCCCTGAAAGCCATATGCCGTTATAGTTTGCTGAGGTGGCACAAACGATGTCAGCTATGATGATTTGGCTTCTGACTTGGCAACATGAGCTAATTAAGTGGCATGAGAGTTGGATATCTAATGTGGAAAATTAAAAAAGAAAGAAAGAAAGAAAGAAGGCGCTAGTTTGAAGAAAAAGACAGAGGACTCATGTTTAAAAAAAGACAGAAGACTCACATCAGACACTCGTGGGGGAGCAGAGGAAAATGACGATGCATATGGAATAGAAGAAAGCAACAGGAAAGGCGCTAGGTCAAAGAGGACCCACACTTGCCGGCAAAGAGTGACGTGGTTTTCACCAGAATAGCAGCATTTTTGACAATAGTGGTGTTACAAAATTGAACCCACCGTTTGCTTCTTTAATCGTTTGTTGAATGGTGAAGAAGTAATGTGTGTTTTGTACCCATGTTTGAGAAAAGTAAGGAGTCAGCTGGGGAAGAGGAAGGATGGGAATGGTGACTAATTCATCAATTGCATGTTTAATTTAGAGTTGTTTGCTTTAATTAGCCGTATAGTCGTTTATTGTTTCTGTTGTTTTCATTAGATTTTAACCCATTTAACTGATTCGGTCTTTGATCCTTTTCAGTATTGTGTCTTCGTGCATGCTCTGTTTTTAGTTTTTTTTAGAAGTTATTGGCATGAGCAGCAAGAGGGCGCTCATTTGATTTCATTTTATTATAGAGCACTGACCTGTTGGTTTGAGCATCCGTATTGTTCTTGTTGAGCAGCGAGTGTGCTATGTTTTTGTTTACTTCCGTTGTATTGTGCTCTATTTTTTTACTTAAATTATAGTACTATTTTGATTGTTTCTCCAATACATATTCAAGAATTGTGTCTTCTTCTCGAATATGTATTAAAGAATTGGTACCACTTTTATTCTGCACCTTCCATTGCCAAGTCAGAAGCCAAATCATCATAGCTAACACTATTTGTGCCACCTTAGCAAACTGTAACGGCATATGGCTTCTAGGGACTAACGTTTTGTAACGGAATAAATTCCAGGGACCAATACCTCCGGTCTTAAATTTTAGGGATCAAAACCTAAATGAGCCTGAATTTGAGGGACCAAAAATTGTATTTTCCCTGAATAATATTGATAAACTCCCATTGTGCAGTGAATTCTTGGCCTGATCTGTAAATCAAACAGTAATTTTGTGATTAAAATTTATTTATTTTGTGGGAAAGAAATAATAAAATTATAACCGATCAAATTAGAAATTAAGTGTCAATTTTTATAGTACTTCTGCGTTGTGAACCAGTTACTCTTTCTATTTGTTTCATCAGGTCTTGGGCTAAAAATTAAAGACATAAAAGCTCAGGCCCAGTCCAAAAGAATGAGAGAAAAACTTTGAATAATGGAGTGCTATGTTTTGATGAAGAGGAGGGGAAGAGGATTCTGTTATGAACCGTTGGGCAAGAAAGTAATTGATCGGTTTTATCAGCTGGCAAAAAGGAATCAATTTATGGCCGAACTGGAAGGGGACTCTTGCATACTCTCTCATTCTCCATCTGATCATCATCGCTCTCTCTCTCTCTCTAAGCACTTTCGCAGCTCCGTCTCCTACCCTCTCTCGTTCTCGTTCACCCGATCCGCATCACCTCTACCATGGTTGTCATAGTCTATGACAATGCAGTACAGAGCCGAAGCATGAGCAACTAAGCGTTTGTGTTCCTCCTAGAGCCGAGCCGCCCGAGTCCTCGTGTTGATTGAAAGGAGTTTCCTCTTGATTCTTAGCTTTAGCATCAATCTCTAGCCTGACTGAGCGAGTTGCTCAATCCGTGTTATAGTTTCAGGATTGATTTTGATTTACATTTTACTGGAGCTGTAGAGTCTATTTAGGTATGATAGAATCATTTTTCATTTGTAATTTCGAGTTGAGATTACTTCTTCTGATTCTGGGATTATCTTATGTTATGGATTTTGAATCGAGTTGATACTTTTCCATGATTCATTTAATCGATTCTATGGCAGTGCATGGTTATGGCTGTTGGTTGAAGAATTGATTTCTCATTTTATCTTTCTTAAGGTGAATGATCTCAGCCTTGATGTTGATTCTTACGAGTTGTAGTTTTGACAGTAAGGGAGCCGGCGAGTTGTTGGCCATTGATTCAGTAGTTGAACTCCTATATGCATACCTGGATTAGGAAGGCAAAGCACATTTCTAGAGAACACTCTTCCACTTTTGATATTCTATTACTTTTTCACTTCACACCATCTCATTTAGACGAATCTGAAAATTATAAAGATTTATATTCTGCATTTATAAAACTAGAAACTAAAATAAATAATTATTCATTAGCTTGCATCTTTAATTTGTAACTTGTTAATCAGTGGATTAGCTAAGGAATTGAAATACATTAAAAAACTCTTTTATGAATCAATCTAGGTTAGACTACTATATTATATTAGCTTGATTTAGTTTCTTTGAAGAGTCTTACCGTAGAGCCTTTTCAGATGCCTACATAAAATATTGTAAGTTTGTGATACATGACATTAGTATATTTTCATTTTAAAATTATAATCTCTTGTAGTCATTTTTCAAAATGTTGAATTCTTGTTTCAGAACTTTAATAAAGTACTAACAAGTTTTATATCAGTTTACTTTTTATTAGTGAAATTAATTAGATAGAATATTAAAAATACATAATTTGTTCGCCTAATTTATATATAAAATACTATTTCCGGTCTTTAATATAAGACGCTGTTTGACTTTTATTTTGGTCCTAAATATAAGACCCTAATTCACTTTGTCTCTCATATTCATACATTTTTTTTTCTAAAATAACCCTTCTAACAATGATAGTTTTAGTCAATACACTTAATTAACAAGGATATTTTAGGAAAGACAACACTTATTTAGGATAAATAAGTAACTCAACTTACTTCTTTAATTTTCTCAAATTAATCAACTGGCTCTTATAATTAGGACCGGAGGTAGTATATAATTTGTGATTCGTTGTGATATGTTCAGAGTAATCACCAACGGTAACCTGAAATTGGTCAAAAATGACATTGGAAGAGAGAGAGAAGTTTAGAAAGAAAAAAGGCGGGTGAGAGGTTTCGTATTTCGAGCGACAGCCATGAAAAATCGCTACAGGTATTCGACTTCTGAACATCCCCTTCCTTCCTCCTCCAAATGCGCGCTAAATAAACAACATCTATTTTAACAAAATGACAAGCTCGTGTTCTTTCTTTCGCTGATAGAGAGCGATTCCTTCCCCTCCAAAGTACCTGCAGGATCAATACGAGGAGGATTATTCACCTTTTTTAATTCTGGACAATGCAAATTGACAATCTTGATGATTCGCCCTTGTTCCGCCAACAGGTTCTGTTTTCTTTGATTTCTCGTTAATTTTTTTCGATAATAGATTTCTTGTTAATTTCAGTGTGGTGGTTTTTAGAGTTCTATCTATTTATCTTAAAATTGTTACCATCACCGGAATGATGCTCTGATTCTAAAATCGAATGATTAGATATAAATAGAGTAATATTCAGAGCTTAATGGACGTTAATCTCTTCGACCTTTGTTCCTTTTGTATCTCACATTGTAATGAGCCACAAATGCTGCTTTTTATGGAGATTGTGCATCTCGTCCATGACTAGTCTTCTTTCCAAGAGATGTGGATGCATCAAATGTGAAAAAAAGCTCGGGCATGCCTTTTATGGTTTTGCTGAAAACTGGTAGGATCCTTATTCGTGAGTGGCTGTGCATGCAGATTCAAAACTTGGAAGAAAGTGCGGACTCATTGAGATCCAGATGCTGGAAGTTCTACAAAGGATGTCGAAAATACACGTGAGTTTTGCTCATGCCCATGGAATTGTTAAATAAACTTGTTCTGTTACCATTGGAGTCGGTTTTCACAATACCTACTTCTCTTACATGTGTTGTGAGTTTTTGATGCGCGAATGATGAATTGTGTAAGACTATTTCATTGTAAACTGTTGGAAGAGAGTGAAAGTCAGAAGCACGTGAAGCTTTAGAAAACTGAAAAAAGAGTAAAGAAAAATAAGTAAGAAAATATTGACATTTCCAGCCATTCTCGAACTTTGTTTCTCAAGTCTTTTTAGGGCAAGAGGTTGAAACTGAGAGTACTTATTTCTGCTCAAAGAAGATAATATTCTCTGTTGCTCTAGGCTCTTAACCCTCCTACAGCCACTAAACAGTTAGTGGAAGAAGTGAACAATGAGTGACGATAAAATTGGACAAGTGAGGCAATAAAAGTTCTGGAAAACAAGCCTACTGAACAGTAATGAGTCAACAAGTAATGTTTGTCTTTAATTTAAGACATGGATTTATATCCAGATCTAGAATAAGTGCGAGAAGCAACTGCTACCTATGGACTAGTTAAACCTGCTGACAAATGTGGATTACTTATTTTAAAGCAGCTCAAAGGAATTATGGTTATTGGATGGTCGTTATATCAATATGGATTTATACGCATCTTCTTTGACAGTGTTGGGAGTTGAGCCACTACTTAAATTTGCAAGCGAGGAAGGCCTTCTATGCAGGCTGCTTTGGAAACATGAAGTTAAATGGAAATTTTGTCATGCTCCTCGAGTTTTTAAACTTCTTATTTCTTATTTATTTTAATCTTATTTTAGGGAGGGCCTTGAAGGGGAATATGATGGGGACATCGCATTTGCAAATGCCCTTGAAACATTTGGAGGAGGGCCTAGTGATCCTTTTTTTGATGTTGTGGGAGGTAAGCCTTATTGGTCTCGTTCCTCCATCTGCATTTTCTAATAATTGGATATATGCTTAATTGGTGGTTAACCCAGGGTTATATAATTTCCCTGAACTGACATAAATTATTGGTTTAACATGACAAGAATTGGTGCGTGTTTGTGCTGCTAAAAATTTTCCCAACTGAATTAGGAAACATGGTCCAAGATGCTTAATTAAAGCATGCCACAGAATACTCGCCTTTTTTTAAGGTTTTCTAGAACAGAATTTTTCGATTGAATATACCGTGCTGAGTTCCAATAAATTATATATATATTTTGCTTTTGTGGTTATTCATTTTGATATATCTTTCTTAGGATCTGTAATGACGAAGTTCACTGTTGCTTTGAGGGAAATCAGTACATACAAGGAACTGCTTCGGTCACAGGTAACGGTTTGCCTAATGTTGTCAATGTCATTTTTTTCATTGCTCTCTCTTTTCCAGAAATTATTTTAATTATGGTTGTAACTTTTTTTAATTCAATCTACTGCTTCTTCTAGTAAATGAATGCCCTTCTCCGTACCTTAAGTTATGCGGGTCATGACATGTCCCTGCAGTTATTCTTGTTTGAAGAGCATGACTTTATATTTATCATACTAAAGTGTATTTATAATTAGCTTGTGAACAAGCTATAGTATGTATAAAGCAAGTAGTGTCTTTTCCTGCTCGAGTTCTGGCGCAGTTTTGTTCGTAGCTTCTACCTAGCAGTTTGACCAATGATTATAAGAAATGCATGCATAATAAAATTTCTGGAGGTTCAGTTCTTTTAGTCGTCGATATCCCATTATCTTCTTGTCCTAGAATCGTCAATTTCTTTTAAATTTTACTGTTACATGTATATTTCATGGATTCTCGTCCAGAAGACAATTTCAAGATTAACAGCTAAGCTGATTACTTGTAACCTGATGGAAACCTCCGTATATCACTTAGTGTAAAGCAAAACAACCAGAAGAACAGGATGGAGTTGAAGAAATACTATGGGAAACGGACGGAAAAAATTAAAACAAAAATGAAAATGGTCCTCTAGCTGTCGAGAAGCTAGAGTCTGATTATTTTTCTGCTCGCCTTCTCCAATAGTTCTGCACTTCAAATTCCACTCTCGTTGACCAACGACTTCTTATCTCCCACCCACTCTTCATGTAGACCGTGCTGAGATTAGTTAAGTTAGAGGCACCTCATCCAGGGACATCCCATCATAATTCACACTGTTCTCCATTCATCTATTTTCTTTTTTCTTTTTTTTCCCCCCTTCTATAGACCTTTATAACCAACACATACTAGCATGTTTACTTGTTTCTCAAGTTGACTGATCTACATACAATATCTATTTTTCATTTATGTCTCACGTCACTCGCTGGACATGAGAATAATTTGTTAGTTAATGGTTGGTCATGATCAAAGTAGAAGTTCCTTTGATATTTATTCTCCATTGCCTCTTCTTTCCCCACCCAGAGATTGATTATTTGTTCTCATTGATATCGTCATTTTGACTCCATCTAGTGTGTCTTCTTAGGTGGAGCACATGCTGAATGACCGATTACTACACTTTCTCAATGTTGACATCCTCGATGCCAAGGTATATTTGACTAATATTGTTGCATCTTTATATGTAATATTGCTTTTTACTGTATTGTAAATCCTTGCGATATTAAGGCACCATATCCTGTGGGCTTGGCTATAGTATATTCCCTGCCAAACCTATATAAATATGACGCTGCTCTACCTTTCTTAAGCTTTTTATGCGCAGCTCTTGCAATGAAACGAGACTTTAATCTTTGTCAATGTTTGTGAATTTTCATATTAAGGTGCGTAGGCACAAATACATATAACACGTGTCAGAAATAAGTCTTCACAAAAGTAGTAATCTACACACGCATGTATCTCGGTGTTTGTGTTTGAGCTAATATTACTGTAGGGAAAAAAGATGACAACAATGTCTACTCTAAAAGCGTCAATAAAAAAAAAAAAAATCATCTTAAGACTTTACATTAATATTGTGGACAGTGGACGTTGTTGCTGATGAAATTAAGTTAAGATTAACAATTCTCTTTAACAAGAGTTATGCTCTTGAAGTTGTTTTTCTTCACATACTTAAAATATATTATATTCATTTTGTTATGCGATTATATTTTTTCCCCATTTAATGCTTCAAGTGATGCCTACAGGAAGCTCGAAAACGTTTTGACAAAGCCTCCATTCAGTATGAACAGGTGCTTCCCAATTGCCTTTGAAGGTTGGATAATAATATGAAATATGCGTCCATGGTTTTTGTTCTTGACAACAATATCAGGAGTATATTTTCAATTTATTCCTTTTTAACCAATCTGTCATGTCAATTTATGTATCAAGAGTTCATCATATTTTTAATTTAATGGTGCATGAAAGGGATCAAAGAATGATCACTTGCATTGGCTGCGTTATTTTGATTTGCATTTCAACGACTCCAAGTCAGCAGTTCAATTTTGTTTATTAATTCCCCTAGCTCAATTCTTGAGAAAGCGGAAAGTTGCTTCGCTTTTAGTGGAAATACTTGAAGTGTAAGGTGATGAGAAGACTTTTTTAGTGGTCTGGTTGAAGTTTCAAGACTTTCCAGTAAGCCAGACCTCTCTCCGGTCGAGTTTAATCTTCAAATTATTGAAGTATTTGTATTTCGGTTTGCAAGTGAGAGTGAGATCTAAGGCTATTGTCTCTCATTTCGATTCAAATATGCAATTACTGTTCTGAGTAACTGATGGTTTTGTGGGGTCTTAAGGCAGTGCTATTGTAAGCACAAGCAATTCTTATCTCCTGATCATAATAGCCACGCACTGGGTTTTGTGGTACAGGCACGGGATAAATTTATGTCTTTGAGGAAAAGCGCCAAGTTGGATACTGTCGCTGCCGTGGAAGAGGTACGTGCAGGAGTTTATTTTGTGACATCAGTTCGTAATATTTTGTCTTATAGGTAACCCTATTTTTTTTGTCATGGATTGCCATGATCCTTTAAAATCTAATTGGTAGAGAGAGATTCCAGGAAATGCACAATGCAAGGGACTCATTTGAGGAAGCCCGTTTCAACCTGGTAATATTAGCTCCAGAAGACACGTACGCAAGATTATAATATATATTTCAGGTCTTAATTAACTACAAAGCATAACTCATCATGCAGGTTAGTGCTCTCAACCATGTTGAGGCCAAGAAGAGATTTGAGTTTTTGGAGGCTGTTCCTGGAATTATGGATGCTCATCTTCGATATTTTCAACAGGTATATGACTCAGTCATAACGCTTCATTTTCACTGATAGTGCTGGACATTGCTGTCTCTGAAAATTCTCTCTTGTAGGGACACCAACTATTTCAGCAGATGGAACCTTTCATCAGTGAGGTTTGCTCTTAGTTCTTTGCTTTTAACTTGACTTCTGATGGTGCATGTAGTTTTTTCCTTGGAAAGGTAGATGTAGGTTTCTTTCAATTTTCTTAAAAAGCTATAAGCCTGGGGTCAAGCAGCTAACACAGACAGTATGACAATATGATTAGAATGAATTGTTAGGGAAAATTAGTTTACTTCATCATACATAGAATGGTGCTAGATGTGAAAGCCGGCAATGACACCTTAAGAAAATGTTAGTTGTAATTTTGTTGGAGATGCATTTTTCCTTGACCGTATCCAAGTTTCTCATTGCGTGCGCGCCCACTAATTTACCTTCAATTCAGTGGCTAAGGGGTGTTTAGTAACCTCCAAACCATGGTTCAAAAGCACTTTTCGCAAAACGAGGCAAACTCCTCCATATATTTACTTCGTAAACCATAAAAGCACTTCTGAAATCATGGTTTGGTTTCTATTCAAACACCCTCTAAAATTACAATCTACTCCGTCCCGAGATGGATGATATTGTTGCAAAGATTGGCATTGCCAGCAATCATTTCAGATGTGTATGCTTTTTTTGCCAGCTTAATGCTTGAGAGAGTTTAGGAACACTTCTATATATTTAATTCTGCTAGGTTGCAGGTTCTGAGTATTGCACAAAAGTCGAGAGAAAATTACAATACGGAGCAGATTTCCCTTCTTGAAAGAATCCAAGAGTACAAAAAACAAATTCATCAAGATAGTAAGCACAACTCGAATGGCCCCTCTCCTAATAGAGACATGCAGGCTTTTTGTAGGATACCGAATGATGTTGCCGATGCTGTAATGGAATCTGCTGCAAATGGCAAGGTACTGTCTGATTTGATTTATCCCTCTTTCTACGAGAATGTGGATTCGAAATTTTGGGTCCTTTATTTAAGAATATCTTTTTCAAAATATGCCCACAATTTTAGGTTCAAATTCTTCGACAAGGATATCTGTCAAAGCGATCTTCCAATCTGAGAGGGGCATGGAAGAGAAGGTATTTTGTTCTTGATAGTCGAGGAATGTTATACTACCATCGCAAACCAGGGAACTGGTTGCAATCGCACGTAAGTTAGCATCTAAATCGTTAAAACGTAATACTCTATGCCTGATAATGCTCATGCAGTCAGTTTCTTCATTTAACATATGGTGATCATACCATTTCAGGGCGGTGGCCAACAATCTGCAGCAAAGAATAATTCCACAGAACCTAGTTCTGGGCTTTTGAGCCGCCTTGCTTATCACCATGCTGTCGTCGATGAAAAAACCGCCGCACGTCGTGCAGTGAACTTGTTAACATCAACAATCAAGATTGATGCTGAGCAGACGGATTTAAGATTTTGTTTCAGAATTATTTCACCAACGAAGAACTTCACGCTGCAGGTTCGTGTCCCAAATTTATTTTAACAATTAAGTTGAATTTTATTACTTACTCCTAACGATGCTAAGGTAGTAAATTGCAGGCAAAGGCAGAAAATTCGGCGGACCAAATGGAGTGGGTTGAAAAGATAACAGGAGTAATTGCCTCCTTGTTGAATGCCCAAACAATAGAAAAGGTACATGGTAGATTTTTCTCTTAAAGTGTATTCGTGGGCATGCACCAGCATTAATCGTGATTAGCGATGGCGATAATTGTTAAAACAATGATATGGCAGCCTCTCTCAGCTGACTCTGAAGGCAATGATGGTAACCCTGCCAGTAGGACCAATATGTCGGAAAATCCTCCGGTTGATGATCAGGTAGTGGCTAAAGCACGTGCATCTTAAGAACTTCACCTAAAATACTTTTCCTTGGCTAAAAGTTTGCAATCGCACCAACAGGTTGTAAAAAGTGAAAAGCCAATTGAAGTTCTTAGAAAGGTGTGCGGGAATGACAAATGCGCTGATTGTGGTAAACCTGATCCGGACTGGGCATCCTTAAACCTCGGTATTCTTATATGCATTGAATGTTCTGGTGTACATCGTAATCTTGGTGTACATATATCTAAAGTAAGTTTTTGTTGAGCTTTCGCATTTAAGCTTATTCTTTTGCGGTGTATATGGCTCAGGCCTTATCAATCTTTTCTGAATAAAACCTAGAAATAGGAGGCCTTATACTTGTTACCTGAAAGCTTTCACTATAACATAACTGCTTTCCAGGGGATGGAAACGCATTTGTTTGTTTTTCTTTGTACATGTTTCAGTCGCTGGGTAATCTCTTTGCGATCAATTTGGGAAGAGCTGTTGCCTTCACCAAGTAATTCGCAAGCAGATGATACCCGTTTGGTATAAATAAATAATTAATTTTTGGCCGTGATTGATAAATGTTTGAATTTATACTATAAGCGTTCCTGCGATGTATTTCATTTAAGGCCAAAAATAAATTATTCCATGCAAAGAACCAGAACATGATGACCCTATTTCATTGAAGGAGAGGTTCATTCACGCAAAGTATTTTAACTTTTTGCTCACTTAGCCTGACCGCATTTCACACTTGAATATTGAGGGAGCTGAACAAGTCTTTAAAGTCATCAATTTAAAAATTCTGAGCTTATACACACTCTTTATTTTAGTTGACAAGTTTGGCATGGTGAAAGATTCCCCAAGGAGATTTAGCAGGAAGTTAGTGCTCTCTTTATTGATTCCCGTATCCCATATGTTTTTTAGCACTTCGGAATCTCTTCTTTTTCTTCCCATCCTTTTTTCTCCTCTCTTTTTTTTTCCCCACTAACCATTAGATTAACATATTCCAACAATTTAGATTTTAATTTTTTATAGGCTATTTATAAAAATTTAAAAAAACATTTAGTATGTTTGCAAACTATTATAATTAAATTTTAATCTAGTTTGTAATTTATTATTTATTTATTTTTATAATTTAATATTTTAATAACAGTTTTAAAATATTTAAATTTGAACTGTTAGAATATTATTCTAATAGTTAAAAAAAAAATGCAAAAAAAAGAAGAGAGCTTCGAACTGCTTTCTTAAACACACCATTTTGTGTTCTGGCATGTCCTGCTTTCGTGGTTAGAGTTCATTGGTGAAACCAATCAAATTCTAGGTGTTCATAGCGCACACATTTTGGCAGGGAGAATGACAATTAATGAGGTCGTGAAATCTATTTAGTGACAGTTTGGACCCGATTGTTTTTTAAAAAAAGAAGTCGCAAATGATTCGAACAGCTGTAATATGAAATCTCGGTTGCAATTATGAAATTAACTGCCATTAATTGATAATTGCATATGTCTGAATCGATACTTTCCATTTATCATTTAAAAACTTTTAAAAGGGGTAACTGTCAGTAAATAAAATTGTGACTTAACTGTCATTTTTCCTTGTGGCAAGCATTTTTATAATTTGGTTAAAGTAGACATTTGATCTTTTAATTTTATACAAAGTTTAATTTGGTTTTTTACTTTAAAAAATATATTTTTAGTCTTTAACCTTAAAATTGTTAAACTTAAATGATGGTGTTTGGTAATAATCATGATTGTTTTAAAATTAAATTTAATATCTTGATATTTTAAAATATTTTATTAATACTTAAAATCTTAATGTCATCATTTTTTATAAATAATTTTAAGATTCAAGAACTAAAAGTATATTTTTTGAAATTCAAAGATCAAATTGAAATGGTATAAAGTTAAAAGAATAAATGTATACTAAAAATTTTATGATTTTGATACAAATTAAATTATCCTCTATTTTCTTACTAGAGATTTTAATTATATATCCTTCTCATCTATTATGAAAATCTATACAAATTGTTTTGAAACCAAAACTTTTCAGCAATATCTTCAGAAATATCTATTTCTTTCATTGTACTGCAACATCTAAGGAAATGCATGTCTTAAACTTATATTTTAGCATTTTTTTTAATCACGATTCATAAATTTTTTTTTATTTTTTAAGGGAAAAAAAAGAAATTGATCATCATATATTGCCCAGATACATATGCAGTATTTTTTCTAATATAAATATAGATTATTCTCTCTTCAGTCTCAGGTATAAGGCAGTGGAAGGAGGGATTTTGTGGTCCTTTTCATAAGACGCTACATTGATTATTTATTACAATTTTTCACTTTTATCTCTATTCAATGTTGACGTAGGAAAATACGAAACTGTTTTTAAGGATGGATTTAATATGGGTAAAATAAAATTTATTTAATTTTTAACAGAGTTAATGAATTTGAAGACTTTTTGTTCTAAAGACATTAAAATGTTCAAGGATTGACTCTCTACAGTGAAACAAGTAGTAATAATCGTATTTTCAGCGTTTCCTTCAGTAGTTGGCAGGAACCTTATTCTTCAAGTGTCACTTGACAGGAGTTTATGTCTGGGAGGTAGAACTTGATGCTTTCTATTATTGCAGTATTTGGAGAAGGTCTTTGTTAACCGGAAGAAGAAAACCGAACGTATCCACTCACTGGCTCACCAGGTGTGGGAAAGCATCTGTGCCAACGACAAGAGAGCAGTGTACCGACATATTGTGAAGTCAGATGTGGATCTCAATACTATCGGTGAGCGAGTATCATATGGTGTGTCTTCTTGTCTCTCAGCTCCATTAGCTGGAATTGGCTTAACAGGTAATTCTGAGGTGCCTTCTTCAAGTAATATAGACTCGTCATCAAAAAGGGAAAATCAGCCGACCAGAAAATCTGAGGTGCCTTCTTCAAGTAATTCTGAGGTGCAACCCAAAAAACCAGAAAATCAGCTGGTAGAGGATAGACAAGATTGTTCTAGTTCTAGTGTGCTTCATCAGGCATGTCTAACTGCCGATTCAAGCATGGTGGAGCTCCTTCTCCAGTATGGTGCTGATATAAATGCTCCAGATTCAAGAGGTCAGACACCCCTGCATTGTTGTATAATCAATGGCAAGAGCGCAGCAGCAAAATTGCTTGCAGTAAGGTAAGAAATGTATTATCTCATTATCTGTGTCATTCATGCCTAAGAACTTAGCACCCTACCCGATGTGATCCAGTTGGCTGGCCTCTTATTGGTTCCTTGCCTCTCTACCCATTCAACTATTTGTTTATTAGAGCATAATGTTGTAGATATTCTTTTACCCTTGTTCCTCCATCAGCTTACCAGTGTAAGTGGCCTCCCTCGGTACCATGACGAAATCCTTGGGAAAACAACCTGAGCCCTGGCGTAATCATTTGTCCACGGTAATTAACTAAGCTTTTACCGTGCCCCTTTATCTCCGCCGAAGTATCACTCTCACTGAAGCTTTCCTATCCGAGTTATTAGTATAATACACCATCAAGTCTTCACTCTTGAGTCACTTGGACAGTGCTAGCAGAGGCCGCTTTATCAGCTGGTCTTACCCTCTCCTTTTGCAAGAAGTGAATCCTCCCCATTGGTCATTTCACCGCTAGTTTCGCCCGTCCTCCTGTTCCTGGAACCGTACTCGAGATTATTGCTAAACTTTTGAGTACATCTAAAACCGTGCAAGCAAAACATACACTCTTGTCTCTAGTCATTTTCCAATTCCATGCACATTTATTATGTTCTAGTACAGAACCAACCGCTTGTGTTAAATGCTTAGGATATTATCCAAAACTAGCCAGGAGACAAAAGCCAGAAACTTATTCAGGCGCAAGCAATATTATGACGACAATACATGTTTTCTCATGGCTATATTATCAAATTATCTGTCACTTAATACTACTCATAACCATGGAGCAAAAGTGCAGGAAGAACAGGAAATTGGATACCTGACTTTAAGGAAGTTAAATTGAACTCTAATCCAAGTGATCATGAGTATTCGATTCTCTGTTGTGTTTCTTATACGTACATACTCTTCTAGTCGTTAATATAGACCTAATTGTTGAGTTGGTTTTAATCCTAAATATAAGACCTATTTATCATATTTATTAATTTTATCTAAATTACCCCTATGGATACTCCCTCAACCATAATCAAGTAAAAGAAGGAGAGGGAGTATTAAAAAATATGATCATAGTGTTTTAGGAAAAACATGTCATATTTCTTATAATTAACCAACTTACCTAACTTTTTTAATCTAATCAAATTACTTAAATGGGTCCTATATTAATGATCAGAAGAATACAATCTAATATAAACCCAGTGTCACTGCACTTAACTCTGCCATGACCCTTTTCTTCCTTTCTTCTTCTTCTTCTTTTTTTTCCCCCGGCAGAGGGGCCAATCCTCACGCTGCGGATAAAGAAGGCAATACTCCTATTGAGCTTGCTTCGAGATCCGAATCTATTGGCGGCGATGTTTTCTCTCTCTTAGCAAGCAGATCGCAAGCCCACGAAGCCAGTTATCACCGGCCGAAAACCTCAGGAGTCAATGTATTGGGCCATGCTGCTGAAGAAAAAGTTCCTTTTTTTGAGGGAAAGGAAAAAAAATTGGATTGAAGTGTAGTTATGATTGTGTATCATATTTATACATAATGGTGCATTAAGATTAAGCTCTGGATTGAAGTAGGCCATGGCCATCTTGCTGGGGGCTCCACTGACCACTGGTGTCCAAATCTTCAACCATTTTGGCCCCACCTTATTCAAATATATATATATATATATATTTGGAGAAATAGGAGCATGGTATCGTATGTTCCAAGGTATGCATACAAGCTTCCTGAATGATTATTATCACCATTCATTCTAAGAGGTTTAACTTTCTCAATTTGGACACGTGACGACACTGGAAAACAAGACATGTAGACCAGCAAAAGCAAAAGCGGGAGACTTCTAATGTGGGGACGACAACGTGGATCATAACTAAGGGGTTTTCTTTTCTTTTTTTTTTAATTGAGTTATTGTTATGAGGGAATAGGCAGGTTCAATGTACAATAAGATGGCGAGTTATAATTCCACGTAATTGAATTTACTCAATCAACTCTTGACCATTCTGCCGCCGCGTCAGGTCAGATATGGTTAAAAGAGTGTCATTTTAATAGTAGGTTCGCTTTTTTAACACAACTTTCCACGTTCAATGATTTTAGACCCGTCTAATATTTGCCATATTTGAAAAAGAAAGAAAATTAAATGGCAAATCAGATGATGTGATGTGCGATCACACGTTCACGCATTGACTTCCGGAAAGACTTCTATATTCAGAATTGGATGGAGGGTGAAAAGCTAGAATTAACAAGTACTTCTAATTCTTAATATAAAGTTATATTTGATTTTTATTTTGATATTAAATATAAGATTTTAACTTACTTTATTTTTTATATTTATATATTTTTTTAAAGTAGTCTTTTTAATAATAATAGTTCTAACCAATATACTTGATTAGTAGGGATGTTTTAGGAAAGACAACACCTATTTAGGACAAATAACTAATTCAACTTACTTTTTTAATCTTCTCAAATTAGTCAATTAGCTCGTATAATTAAGACCAAAGGTAGTATATTTTTCCTAAAATGTTACTATAAATTATTTTATTGTTCTGGCAAAAAAAATTATTTTATTGTCATACGTTGAAAATTTTCTTGCGGAGGGTTCTTTCTTTCTGCCGCTAGCCTCTTAAAGAGAAGTGAGAAAAGGCGCTTTTTTCCTAACCAAATAGTGTTGACTTAAAAAATAACACAAGAAAACTTATTCAAAAGTTTTAATAGTAAACTTCTTTAGGGAATTTGTTAGAGATTATATTCAAAAGTATGTATATATTTATAATATAATTTTTGATGGAGACATATTATTTTTTAAATTTTTTTATGAATAGTCATGGCAGCATCAATAAATTAAGTTAAAAACATAAGCTTCTAAAATAAAAAGAGGTTCTTTTAATTAGAGGCAAAATAATAGTAGGAGATCCAAATATCTTTTATTCAAAGTCAAAAGTTAAAAAAATATGGTTATTCATTAAATATTTTTGTATGTAGGTGCGTATTTCAATGATTTATTTTAGCCAACATACGTGTTTAAAGAAATATAATTATAAAATTAAACGTTAATCAATGATATGTTAATAATTAAAAAGTATATGTTAAAATTAGATAAAAGGATAAAATAAATTTTAAGATTAAAAGACTAAAAATATACTTTTTAAAGTTAAATGATCAATTGAAACTTTATATAAAATTAAAGAACCAATTGTATACTTTAGTCATTTTAATTTTAGCAAATGTTTGTGTAGGTTTTTTCTGATGAAAATAGGGGTTGTAAAAAAAAAATGTTTGTAAATAAACCTTTTGTTTTTGGGGAAATGATCAAAAATTACTGTTGAAATTTAAAATGATAAAATAGGCATGCGAATATATGAAATGACCAAATGGGCATGAGGTATCAATATGGAATTTTGACAATTTGGTAGAAAGAGTAAAATGCCTTTGAACCTCTCTGAAAACATGAACAGGTGGTAACTCTCAGTATGAAAGTTGTAATTCACATTACAAATATTGTCATTATCATTATCAGGGTAGTAAAATTGGCTTCAAATGCATGTTACTTGGATTTGAAAGAAACGAGTTATAAATGGCATAGCGAGATAGTAACTCTCATTACGAAAGTTGTAATTCATATTACAAATGTTGTTATTATCATTATCGGGATAGTGAAATTGGCTCCAAATACATGTTACTTGGATTTGAAATAAACGAGTTGCAAATGATAATAATGAGATGGTAACTCTCATTAAAAAAGTTATAATTCACATTATAAATGTTGTCATTATCATTACTAGGATAGTGAAATTGGTTCCAAATACATGTTATTTGAATTTGAAAGAAACGAGTTGCAAATGATAATAGCGAGATGGTACTCATTACAAAAATTCTAATTCACATTACAAATGTTGTCATTATCATTACCGGAATAGTGAAATTTGCTCTAAATACATGTCAGGGGCATTTTAGTCTTTCTACCGAATTGTCAAAATTTCATATTGATACCTCATACCCATTTGGTCATTTTATATATTTGCATGCCCATTTTGTCATTTCAAATTTTAACAGTCCTTTTTTGGTTATTTTTCCTTTGTTTTTTGTATTTACTTACATTGAGGCATCGTTTCCACGAGCTAATTTTTTAGAATACTACCTCCAATCCTAATTGTAATAAATAAATTAAATTAGTTATTTGTAATAAATAGGCATTGTTTTTTCTAAAATATCCTTACTTACCAAGTGTATTAGCTAAAACTATCATTGTTAGAAGAATTATCTTGGAAAAATATATATAAATATAAGAGACAAAGCAGATTAAGATATTATATTTATGATTAAAATAAAAGTCAAATAAAATTTTATATTAAGTATAAGAGGTATTGAGTTTTAAGAAAACCTTTGTTTTCCCCCTTCCAATTACCCAAATGCTACTCTACATTCTAGTAGAGATCATCTGCAGCAGAGAGGCATTACGATTTTGAGTTGAGAGAATGAAAGCTCTATTGAGTTGGATTTACGAACGATGAACAGAATTAGGCAGAGATTGTCCATGTTTGGGAGGGAGGCGCATATGCGTTCGCACGATGGCCTCTCAGAAGCATTGAAGAGAAAGGTGGCCGAATTGGAGAATATATACAACGAAGACGAGGACCTCAAGAAAGAATGACCATTCCTTTGTGGAGGGTGACACTGCTTTGAGTAGGCCACTGGTATATGGAACTATAATCTGACGAATGTCTGTGTAATCTATATTGGCATCACTGTATGATGAAGAGTTACTTGAGCGCAAGATAAAGCTTGCACCTGAAGATCAAGGCACGATCATATTGCTCATCCTTGAGGAATGGGAGGAGTTTCGAGACGTGAGGCTTAGGACTCCTTTTGAACCTAAGCTTGCCCTACCTAACGCTAAAATAAGAACCGGAGAACCATTGCGTTTGGTAGGCCTTGTGATGCTTCTTATACATGTGACTGTTTAGTAGAAATACGTACGACCAATTTGGTCCCATTCTCTTGTTAGCAGGGTAGTGTCCTTTGTTGTGCAAAACATCAGGTTGTGAAATTACTTGCTAGATAAGGAAAATAATACCTTATCACACTGACACGCCAATGCTTATAAATAACCCTAAAGAATGATAGGTGGATTTAATATATGAATATATGTGCGCGCGCTGGAGAGCCCTTTGGCTTTAAATAAGGGGAAAGGGAAAGAGGCAAATGTGAATGCTGGCATTTTCTCAAAGTAATTCTTAAGATAAAGGTCCCATTCAAGTGATTTTGATGTCGAAGTTTTACTTCTAGATTTTGTGAAAATGTACCCGAGCTGATAATTTGGCCCGAGAGAATCCAAGTATGTATTTGTAAGTCAAGTTCTTGACTAATTAAGATGCGTGTTGATTTTGGCGCCCAAGTTTCTCACCAAAACTCACACCCCATAGATAATCCTTGGGATCAGGCTATAAGGTTTATATGTAGAAGACTTATGCCAGCACCATTACTCAACCTTCTGCCGAAAAATAACAATAATTAGATGTTTTCTTTCCAGGTGAGGTAGGAGAAAAATAATAACTTAAAACTTCCCAAAAAAATTGTGTCCGTCCTTGTAACATTTAAACCCTATTGAACTATTCGGAGAAATATTAAAAGAATAAAACCAAAGTTTTACGGAACCCCCCTGAAATGGATGGAGAAGCTAAAAGAATCTTTTTTTTAAAAAAAAATGTTCCACAGAACCCGAAAGGAGCCATGCTATTCCGGTTTGCAAAAAGTTTGGCTTCATATACATGTTTATATGTTATGATGATGACTATAACAAGAAAATTGTACGTCCACCCCAATGCAGTGAATAGTACTATTCTTGTGTTGTTAGAGTGAGAGTTTTCTATGCTGCTAGTTCATTTCCTCCCAAGATTTTTGGAGGAGGACTTGAAGGATTGGACAACTGACGAGTTTAGCTTATGGATGCAGTTGCTCGCGTTGAAGAGTATGGTAGGCATAGCTTCAAGTAAATTTGCTGCCTGAATACATCCTATTCGTTCTATTTGTCATGCCCAATGTAAATTATTATTATATCATCGTTACCGAATTGTTAGCCTCTGAAGATATGCCCAGTAGCTGTAATCGCTTAATTTAGCTTCCATCAAAACTGCATTGTATTGTCATATACAACTGACTATGAAATGAGAATTATTATCATATGGATGTAATTCTTTATGCATTTATACATGAATAAAACTTTTCATTTAGTCAACCTTCTCTCAATTGATAAATGTTAGTGGATGCACACAAGTACTTCGAAGTGGATGATAGCGGAGAGCCCCAGCTGGCCTCCATGGCGCCTATGATGTATAAAGGTGGAGTGAACTAGTGGTGATGAATTGTGTACCCTTTTTTGTTTCTGGAGGGGCAAATGAATTATGTACTCCTTCATATAAAGGAAGTTGTGTTCAATGAATAAGCTAAGTGTTTTTTTGGTGCTTTACAAAACCCCCTAAAGTCATGCAGAAAAGTTAGTATTTGCAAGCTTTAAACAGTAGAAATCCTTCCAGGGTCTGAACTGGTTTATGTTACTGACCGTCCACTAGTTCCTTTCTCATAACTGCCGAGCGTGTCCATACTTGTTCACAATGTGCCTATTCATTTTCCTATGATGCTATTCTTCCACCTGTTGTTTTAACGGCACCATGACTTCAACATCAATGTATTGACCTGAGAAATCAAAACCACACGCTCTCAGGCAGTCAAATGTAGAGGTCCCACAACTAACAAGTCAAATTTGAACAGTGTTCTGTTCACGAGCATGCTTATTCTGTTCATTGATTCAATTGATGCATTATTATTGAGCATGGCCCTTGTAACAGATATCAGC